AAACATGTATTCTTAGGACATGTCTGTAGACCATTTTTGAATAACCGATTGGAATAGTATGATGTATTAAACCACAGTATAACAGTGCTCATACATCATACGAAAGATCCCCGGAGTTCTCCGCGGACAATTATGACAGAGAGCTCTCCGCGGATACGCCTGACGATTGTTCGATACATACGTTTCTGCAGACGGTTTCTGCGTAACCAGTGAGCCAAGACTGTCCTATACAAGCAAGAAACACGCATCAAACAGAGTCTCAGACTGCCTTTTGTACGGTGTATTTACAGCCTCACCGCGAAGCTTACGAGGTGTTGGCCTCCCCAGGATGCGAAGGAACAGCCCCCAAAACCCGCCAGCCGGACAGCACGCGCCAGCGAGCCCACTCATCCGACGAAGCTCATGCCGCGGGGAAGCCAAGCACGGTCAAAGTAAACAGGACTTTCCGCTGCACCGCCGGACAAAAACACCGTGGTCGTCCCCACGACTAAGCCCTCGGTCAGACGTAGTTGCAATAACGCCGGGCCTCCGACTACGTTTACGATGGACCGTGCACCTCGGTCGTAACTCTTAATGCGCGCCAAGACCGCGCTCCGGAAGCCCGGGCAAACACTGCGCTTCACGTGCGCTGCATGCGGCTCCTGCCGCGGGTCATTACGAGCGCTCTGCAGGGAGCGAGTGTCCTGGGCCCTCCGGTTGCTAATCCGTCACGCTCTCGCTCATCTAATCTGCTGATTAAGGAAGAGACAGGAGGCCCTATTGCGCCGCGCCGAGGCCGAGATGCTATTTCTGATACGAGACAAAAAGGTTGCTATCCGGCATCGAAGATGATGGTTTCAGGGACTGAATCAAGCTGGATTGATCTATCTTGCCACGCAAATTTGCATCTCTGCTGCCGCAGAACGACTCCGTTTTTATCTGCCTTTGCCTTTTATTATCGGATCTAACGTAAATCTATAGTATTGTACGCCTCAAGTTTGGGCAGCGCCTCTACGGATCAAAATTTAAGAAATTTCGGTCGCGTTTGGATCGTCCGTCATGGCGCTTTCTCGCGTTTCTCGCGGACGCTAAGTTGGCAGAATAACTTTGGCCGATATAAAATTGTGAAAAGCTTCAAGAAAGTCCTTCTTATCGTATTGATGTAGGACACTAAAAGCCCGAGCAGCAGTTTTTTTTTTTTTTTCTCGTTTATTCGACCTTTTTATTTCTTTGAGACGCTGGAGTACCCAGAGTTGAGTGATGCTGCCACACACTCGCTAACGACCACGGCACGTGCATGATCGAACGCTGCAGCGACGCTTAACTATCGACGCCAGCCCTATGTGGCCGCGTCTTACAAACGCGCTTGCACCCCCCCCCCCCCTCCCCCTCCCGCCCAACCTCGCCGAGAGAAACAGGCTTCTACAGCGAGCAAGTGTATCGAAACGAGTGTTTGGTGCATCGGAACGTATGGAAGGGCATGCTTATGCTAGGGCAACGTGCAGAGCGGCAGCAAGAATAGAAGAATAGACTGTTGGGCTAGTTGGTAAATGTTCATGATAAAAAATAGCGCGAAACACATGGACGCAGAAGAGAGAAATACATACAAAAGTGGCGTTGGGGAAGGCCCGGTGATGAGGCAGCCAAGCGCTCGCCGTTCAAATCGAGAGGGGAAAAACAGCACGTGGGCGCATGTGACGGGTGAACAAACGTATACAAAGTGCACCAGTAGCAGATGAACTTGAAGACCGCCTACATCATTGTAATAATCTCTATATTCACGCCGCCATTTTTTTCTATATTCAGGCTGTAGGTTTCCTCCTGAGCCTGCGCAGAAGCTTTCATTTGCGGACTGCAGAGCGCAAGCTTGTCTGCTTCTTTTGCAGGGGTTCTGGGCACGTCAAAACGTCGCGTTCTGATTGGCTTTGATTGAAAGGATAGTGGGTAGACCTCAAGGCAGTTTGATTTGAGTTCTACCCACTATCCTTTCAATCAGAGCCAATCACAGCTCGGCGTTTTGACGTCACTACAACCCCTGCAAAAGAAGCAGACGAACTTGCGCTTCTCATAGCAGACGTCGTGCATGCGTCCGCTACCCAATGACTCGACATTTTTTTTTCTTTGTTCTGTGATAAGCATTTAAAAGGGGCACACTATACTTTGTTTCAGCTTAGGTCCGACCGCGGTCGATGCTATGAGCCGAAGGGCCAATCAAACAGCGAAAGAGGCACAACGTCATGGCGTGCTTTCTGCAGTCGATAGGACCAGCTGGTCCGTCTCTGGAGGGAAAGGAGGCCCCTACAAGCCTAGAAAAGGGCTGCCGAGAGGATTCGCACAGAATTCGGCTTTTGAGATCAGGAAGATTCGGCTCTTGAGACTGGGGCTAAAGTATGGGCTGTAATTTTGGGAGTTTTGTGATGTAAATTACTGTTGACTTGTCGTTTTGTTTTAAAATATTCGTGGCCACACTGGCCATCGTAAACCAACCCACGTCGTAATGTGTCCAGCGGGATCGAACAACTTTTAGTTTTTTTTTTCTTATTTAACTTCCGGGGGACTTCCATCGGGCGAACACCATCATCGATCGTCACCATCCTGGCCGGCCCCCTCTCCACAGAAAGTTGACTCGTTTTATGATCTAAGATCGATCATTAACACTGCAACCTTAATTACACAACCGAGCGGGAAGTATTACGTTAATTGCTATATTCCAATTATGGCACCGTAATATCAGTTTGCAAGAGGTATTAACTAGGGTACGCGTCAAACCCGTCTAATGTCCGCAATTAAAGCGTCCGTGGGGCCCTATTCCGCAATGTTTCAATGCTAACCTCCCACCTTATCGGGCAAACTTTACACGTCCTGGAAAGCCAGGTTTCAGTTTAAAATGTTTCCTGTGCCGCAATCGGCTTTAAAAGCGGGCCGGCGTTCCTATTTAGCACACTGTGAAGGTTATTCTCGGGCATTATCCACCCTACGAATATAGTTTCGTGAGCCTGAACTTTCGCAATGCACTAATGCACGCCACACACAACCACGCCGCCGCCCTTTCCCTAACTCCTTGCGGTCGACTTCCGATATCTCGGCGCCCACGGATACAAGGCCGTAACCTTCGAAGCTATTACTTTTTTCGTCTTAATCGGTAACTGCGGTAATAAAACCATCCGTACGGAAACGTTTCATTGCCGGAAACGTGCAGCGGCACCTCCCCCCGCCCCCCTCCACACACACACACACCTTAAAAAAGACATGGCAATAATAAATGCGAAGACGTCTACACGAATCGATATGTTTCCCAGTGGTCCTCTTATCGCAACGAACGACCGAAACCACTGAAGGGTCCAACGGTCGGCTAACCGTCTGCTTGCTTTTTAACTTGAAGAGCAGCACCTCAACCATTTCCTCATCGGAAATAACTTTTTTTTTTCGGTGAAAATAAGCCATACAGTTTTGAAGATTCTGCGCTTCGATTGGCTCACGTAATTCGGAGCGCAAGTTCGTCTGCTTCCTTTGCAGGAGTTGTGGTGACGTCGAGGTCGACGAGAAACGCCGCATGGCGGCAGACACGTCCGTTTTGGCGTCGTCGCGTGTTAGCGTCGCACTCGGCGAGAGACGCTGCAAGACGCTCTGTTGACGATGCTGACCCAAGTTCACCGCCTTAGTGATGACAGTTGAAAGGGAAAGACGCAAACCTCGTCTCACAGGTGTTATAGCCGTTATAGACATGAAACTCTCAAGTTTTGAACAGCGCCCCTGGCGAGAAACATAGGATATTGAGGTCGCGTTTCCACTGTACGTATAATTGCGTCCTTTTAAACGCTCATTTAGTGCGCGTGAACCATGAGCAGACACCGAGGACAACTGACGGACGCTAGTTTACGCCCGTGCGCGGTATTATGATGGGACGCAAGAACACCGCTTCACTTCAGAATTAAATGGTCGCGTCCCGCGGACGCTAGCAGAGGGGCCTCTTTTGTGATCGTGACTCGTAAATACTTCTTCGCCCCCTGGCCGAGAAAAACAGGCCTATTTTGTAACCACGACCGCGACATCGAACAACTTTCTTCGTCGTCCACGATGAAGCACTCGTCCGCATAAGCGGTTTTTGCTTCTTTTCTTTTTTTTATTTAGGCCATCGCTGGCACCGGCAAGCGTACAGCGCTCTGACGGAACGTAATCCTTCACCGTGTCGTTAAGAAGCTTGGCAGTGCCATGCGGTCGGTGTATGTATGTATAAGCACCTTCCTAAGCAAATGCGCTTGAAACTAAATGTTTTTTGTTTCGATTTTTTTTTGTGCGTGTCACGTCGGTAGAGTACGTAACGTTGTATGCGCTGAAACTACTATGTATTTTACACGCTGCGTGAAGCGGTAGTTTAGGATGTCAAAACGCTACCCAAAATACCCTCTTTTTCACTTGCGGAGTTTGGTATTAATTGCGCAAAGCGAACAAAGTCAAACGGAAACTACAGGTGAAAAAGAAAAAAAAAACTACTTGTGACTTTACAGTGTGCGGGAGTCACCATGGAGTCACTTACTGCGAAGTTGAAAGAAGCCACTTCCCGCCACTCAAAATGTCTTCAATAAAAAAATAAAAAAACGGTTTTTTATTATGATATTTTTAATTTTGAATATGTAACTTAGATGACTTAGAACGTCCGTAAATAATTTGGAAACGATGACATTATTGCACATGACCTTGAAGAAACAAACAAAACAGTGAGACACAACGCTGTACACATGATGCTGTATGGGTGCTTTCCGTGTAGAAAGAAAAGTATGTATTGAGACACAAATATTTTTTCCGGGTGTCTGGGATTTCGTAGGATACGATTTGAATAAAAAAAATTTGGAACGACGAATTCGTTGTCAAGATCCTTTTTTGTTTGAACAACATTACACTTCTCTTGTTAAGGGATGGCTGGAGCCAAAATGTACTTCACTAAGCAAATGTTTAAGTGGAGCATAGAGAAATCTCATGGTTTAGAAATAGAACGGATTAGCCCGTAACGCCAGACTTACCAGAGTTGTTTGTAGCGATGAAACACCGACAGACCTGGAAGAGAAGGAAGAAGCTGTAAGGAATACGGTGGTTTCACACGTCTATGAAATAAAAGACAATTAAATTATTGTGACAAAGCAGGCTAACAGGGACAATATGAAGTCTCATATTTTGTTTTCATATCTATATTTCCGTTACATTTCAGTGCGACTCATAGATGGTGGTGAAACACGTTCGGTCGACATGGGACAATGTGACATGTCGAGACGACCAAACGAATTGAGTACACGAGAGTCATTAGACTTCTTTTTTTATTGTCAAGGGTTAATAGAGCAAGTTTTCCGGCGCCCACAACCCGAGAAACAGATACATCTGCATCAGAAATAGTATAGCCTACGCTCGAAACGCCTTTTCTACTTTGTTCCAATTTGGTGAATCTCCTGCTCATGTCCTTCAAATTACTTATTTTCGGAAGTTCTCATTTTGCATTTAAAATTAAGTTTCGAAAATCTCTCGCCCTACAGAGATACTTATGGAAGTTTAAACAAACCGGTTGAATTGGTCGTTTCGCACGATGTATATTGTAACATTCAAAGACAGGTTATGAGGAAACGATAAATTTTACAACTGATTACTTATCGAAAGCTACTATGTCTAATACTTGGTTTCCATGCAGATGCTCGTGTTCTAGAAGTCCCATACAGGTAGTGGCTCCGACTGTCCATTAGAGCTTAACTTCCCTGCGCATATTAGCATCAAAGGTTAAAAATAGTTGCTAGGTGGCGCAAGCCGCTGCCCTATAGAGATGGTTTAACCATATATTCCTCCATCTATCCGTCCATCCATCCGTCAGTTCATTCATCCATCAGGGCATACCTCCATCCATCCATTCATTCATCCGTCTATCCAGTCATTCGTCCGGCAGGAATGCACGGGTGTTTTGCTTTTCAAAGAAACATTTCTATGCATGCACATTCCCACCACTTTGTAAAGAACCACTCTTGCCGCACAGTGTATTGTTGGCTTAAAGATTATTCTTTTAACATGGGAGCAGGTGGGGCGAGTTTGCGGAAGCATCGTCCAAAGCCTATGCCATCTCAAACTGGTCTTTTTGCGACCACAGAATTCTCTTTCTGAGAGCCCCTTTATTTTGACTTAAGCTTGAATCACACATTTGCGTTTGTGTATGTAATTCCATTGTGTTTCAACCGCCTGTAACCGCTTATGATGAGAGCATACATTGGTGCCATCTATCAGGAAGCCGAGCAAACACTCCTGGTCTGCGCACATTTTGCGCATCATCTTCCACCACGTGCTTGAAATAACTTTGACATCGATGCCATTTTTCGTAGATAGTACGTACAATTGATCTCCAAAATATTGCTAAACCTTCAGTTCACTTATAGAGTTTAAATCGAAAGTGTTCTTGTGCTACACCTAACAGATGGCGCCAGCGTGCCGGTGCGCTCTCTTGTCGACGGTGGTTACATGCGCGGTTTCAACTCAGTCCATCACACTCGAACGGAAATGTATGAAACAGCTTTCAGTTAGGTACAGGAAGCCTCGCTGCTGATGGAATCACTGAACGAAGAAACTCATTTAGAATGTGAAGACATACCTTTTCCTCAAACTCCGACCCTTGAGCACCTTAACGTTTGCTCGACGCTACCAGAGTCCTTTTAAAGCCTTTTCGGAATCTATGTTGTCGGAACTATGTTGTCGGAATAAAACTTGTGGCGAGACAACTCCATGCAAGCGAAACAATTCAGGGGCGGAGACGAATTTCACCCGAACAAACTTCGCATGTAGCCCTGCGGCATTTCCTCTATACTTGCCAAGCACAAGTCGAGAACAGGAAACTGGCGGCTCTGCGAAGACCTTCAATAGATTCTTGAACCGAACGCTGCTTGAAATTGGCTTTCCTGTTTGCTCACGGCGTGGAAAAGAAAACAGTCTAAACCAAACCCTAACCCTGTTTATATAGCTTCGCAGATTTGGTTGCTCCGCAAACTTTGTCGCGCACCGAAGTATAAAGCGGGAGGGTAGCGGAAAAGACCTCGCGATAGAGTTTATTCAAATTTTCGGGGGCAAGTTGTTTTCTCGCGAATGAATCTCGCTCAGGAGCGTTATTGTAAGGCGCATTCTTTCAGGTAGTATTTAGGTGCGGAATCTTGAATGGTGCTTTTCGCATCGGTGACTCGGAATGTTCGTTAAACCTTTAAACCTTTGGGGGTTGACGGGAAAGTTTAATGTTTTATATTTCTAGTTAGTTCTCTCGGTTTCGGCGCAAAAGTGCTTGCTCTGGCGAGTCACGTGGTGGTTAGAATAACAGGCTTTGAACGTTGCCTTTACCGTTTAAATTCGGGGTCGACTGTTCTTCCTGCAGTTAAAAAGGGTAAAAGGCCTCGCTGGAATTGTTCCGTGTACGCATTTAAAATCCAAATGTAACTCAATATATTTTACGGGCTATAGAAGCCAGATGAGTGCGGTATTTATACAAAATTCTTAACAAAAGATCTGAAGGTTTGAGATGAATCGGAAGAGATTCAGATGGAAGTTGTCGCTGCAAAGGTTCAGGTGCTGATGGTTCATCATGACATGTCAAGAACGTATTTCAGGGCTGCCGACCTAATTCTCTATTTGTTACTCCTATGTTTAAAAAAAAATTAATGTGCTACTTATTTTTTTCTTCTTTTTTAACAGGTGGCAGTCCGAGAGCAAACAAGAGAAGTGTACGAAGAGGAGGCTGCGAACCATCACTGTCACATCACGGTCACTATCCAATTCCACGTTTCAGTTTTATTTCGAAACGATCTCGCGTGTTAGTGTCATTTCAAGTGCGCCCATGAAGACTGTTGATAAAGGCACGGAAGGTGCATGGCGAATTAATAAAGTTCTGGAAGGATGTCTATAAAAACAATTTGCGCCGGATGAAAGGCAAGTGAAACATCATTTGTAGCGAACACGGCAATACGTGTCTATGTATACGCTTTATTTCAGAATAGGAATCTGGGGGCTAGGGTAAAAAGAGACAAGCTTGTTTTCTGGAGGCACCTCCGCCACTGATTTTCACATCACTCATTAGAGAAACAAAAACTCACGTGTATATTACCACGCATTGCGCAAAAACAGTTTTTTTTATAAACCTATTAAGTTGGAATATCAACTGCAGATCACGAGTATTTTAGAAAATTTGCTTGAATCTTTTTTTTTTTTTTTTTGATGTTCTACTTGAATAGTTGTTTTGAGCCATTTCAACTATGCTGGGTGTGTGTTTAGTATGTCGGCCATGAGTCTTAGTCAAGTTGTTGGAAACCATAATTTGTGCGCACTTTAATTTTTACATAATCGCAACTTTTTAAACTAACAAAAACGTGAGGGCTCAAGTGAGCTGGTGAAAGTCCATAATTCTAGGATTACGCAAGACTGCGGCGTCGGCAAAAAAAAAAAAAAAAATACGATAGGGAAAGAAGTGTCAAAACTGTTATTTCTAAAAGTTTTGGAATGCGAGTTAAAACATTTTTTATTGAAAATAATTATTGATGTATTAGAGATCTTGATTTGCTCTACAGTTATTATCTTGAATTCCGGAAACAGATGCGTCTGCTCGTATTTCTGGATGTCTCCAACGGCCGGAAAGAAAATATCATAGACATTTTCTTCTCGGCCGTCGACATCTTGGATCGCGAACTTTCTTAAAGTGGGACAACGTCGTATTTCTCTTGTCACGCCAAGTTATCGACGTTCTAATCCCGGCCGTCAATTAATTTTTTCGAGCCCTCTATATTGTTTAGTTGTTCCAATTTGTAAAGATGTTTTCTCTTTTTACTTTTGTGTGTTTATTTTGGTTCTGCATACCGAACACATGAACTACGTGTCTGGGAATGAGGGAAAACGATGAACGTATACACCTATGAGAGTTACTTTACTCGCTTTACCCTTTACCTTTTATTTCCTTTTCTCGCGGATAGCGAACAATAAATCCCTTCCGAAATTAAAACTGGCCAGTTTGATCACTATCATAATCTGAGGAATGACATATCTGTCATACTAATGGTATGACAGATATGTCATTCTAGCATCTGGCGATGCTAGAAGTGGAAGATGCTCCGAATCGGATGATGCGAGGTCTGCACATTCGAGACGTGAGTACGATGCGACACAGGAATTAAAGACAAAGAGCTGCATAAGTCTGCGTAAGCTGCGTAAGTCTGTGCCATCTTCCCTCCCAAGGAAAAACTTTATTTTTCGCATATTCGCTCAATTTTAGAATATGCTTGCGCCCATATGGAGACCCTTACATGGCTATTCTAGTAACTAAGCTCGAAAAAGTACAAAACCGGGCTGCCCCTTTTGTTTTGAACAATTATGGCAGGCAACTTAGAACATCACGTGTGAAAGAGAGACTGGGATGGTAGAAGTTAAGCTCTAAAAGGAAGAGTATTTGACTCCTCAAACTTTTCTGTCACATATTTCATTGTAGGACTGGGATTGACAGCGAAAGCTACCTTCACCCGCCACATTACACATCGAAACAAAAGGACCATATGTGTAAGGTTAAGGAATTACGCTGTAAAACAGATGCCTTCTATGAACTGATTTCTTCCTAAGGCAATACCGGATCGGAATGTTTTGCCAACGCCTATGGTTAATATTTTTCCGAGCGATATGTTTTATTTAGGATTAGCCTCATAGTGTTTCGAGAACCAATTTTAAGGAGCCTGAACTTTGTTGTAACACTGAAATATTTATGAGATGTTAATATAGTTTTCTTAGGTTTTTTAGAACTACTTATATTTTCTCGTTGTCAACTTTCCTCCCTACTGTAATGCCCCATGACGCTGTAGCTATCTGAATAAATAAATCGAAAAATCGTGTCCAATCAATCTGTTGGCGGCACATAATCAGCGTTAGAGTCACCTTATGTATAAAATTTCATTACGGCTTCAATGTGGGTCGGTGCTTCGTCCTTACAGGTTGCATATGTGTCACCATGGCAACTGAGAGATCTAATTGTAAGAGAGATCCCGAAAGAGTTTTCCGGGGTGACCAGA